GAATAGGATACAGAAGATTCTGGAAGGTTTAGTACAAGGTTAAAGGTTCCAAAGAACTGCTTTAAAGACTTAGTGGCTATGGCATATTTTCACCAGCATCAGCCAGAATCATTGGTAAGCAGAGGTAAGTGGGTGGATACAGAAACAGAGTGGTTAAATAGAGAACCTACAAGTGGGTTTCAGGTATGGCAGCTAGTGTAGAACCTTCAGGCAGACTACTTAAATTAGACAATGACTAAAATTGTATGAGTAGCTAGTTGTACACTCTCTTCATAGTTGCCCTCTGTAGTTGTAAAGCAATCATTAGCCAAATATACTATCAATAAAATTCTAGGTTGCAAGTACTCACCTTAATATTTAAAAAAAAAAAAAAAACAAAGGGCTTAAACAATTTTAGAATTTTGTGAAAATCACATTTCAAATTTGATAATCATTAAAATAGAAATTTTGTAATAAATTGATAATATCTTATGAACCAATAATCAGAATTTAACAATTTTTATATCATTCGATTCATCTTGATATAACAAATTGAATGATATAAAAATTATTAAATTTTAATAACTGGTTTGTTATATATGATTAATTTAATAAATTACAATTTTTTATTTGAAAGTTTATATTACAGTAGCAAATATTACTATGATCTATTAATAATAAGTTCTTTTAACATCAATAAAAACTCTAAAAACTTAAGAAATACAAACTGAATATTGCAAGAAACTTTATTTAATGCATCAAAATTAATTTCTATAGTATAAATTCTTGTTTTGATATATTACAATTATTTTTTTAATAAATCTTTAAATGAAAACATATTTTACAAACTACTGATTAGAATTGAATATTCTTTATACTATTTGGTTTGTCTTTAATGATGAATCCAATAGTATAAAGTTATTTAATCTTAACATTAATTAATAAATGATAAAATACGTATTATCTCTATAATATAAACTACTAATCATATACTTATTTATTAACCTATTATATATTTAATTTGTTTCAGATTTACTCAGCTTAGGACAAGTAATATCTCTATAAGGTAATTCAACATATGGTAAAATTTCTTTATACAATTCCTTTTGCCTTTTTGAAGTAAGTGATTTAGTATTAATAATTAGTGAAAGAATATTTGAATCAAAGAAAAAAGATTGAATTACAGTATTTTTATAATCGTCTTCAATTTTATCTTTATAAAAAACTACTCCTAAATGTTAAGAAGTAAAATAAAAATGATGATACTTTTGAATATTTAATAGCTTTTTAAAATTTTAAAAATAAATTTTAAAATTATAGTATTGAAAACCTTTTTTATTTAAATAACACTGTGCTGTATTAAGATGAACTATTGTTAAATAATTAATCATTGAAATTATATTATCTACTGTATTTACCTTGTTTCTGATAAAAAACTTTAATTAAACCAAAACAGCTATTGCAAATAAATTTCATGTGACTAGGTATCGTAAAGTTTAGTTCAATTTCATTATATATTCCACAATCAATTAATTATGAATAAAAAAATAAGGAATAGTTATTTTTATTTTGACCCACACAATTGTCGCATGTAATAATCAATTTTTTTCACTATGATTGTATTTCCAAATTGCATGCCAAACCAAACTTAATGTACAATTTACACCTTTTTTCTTTTTACTATTATCAGGCATTTCTGCTTCATCAATTATATAATTAGTTTGCTCTGTATAAGGATAGTTACTAATATTACAAATTCCAAATAAATGTACTTTTTGAAGGCTTTTAAAAAACAAAGATCCAATTTGTTAAGGTAAGTACAGAACTAGTACATTTTGTGCCCAATCATATGCTATATAAGCACAATTATTAAAAGTTTTAACTTGTATTTTAGTATTAGTTATATTTGGATTTTGATTGCTATCATTAATTGCAAGTTTAATATTAGCATTATAATAATTACATTCTTGCTTTGCTCAATTTAGATGTGCTAAATAATTTTCTGTAACTTTTATTTTTTTTCATGCTCAGTAGTATACTGAATATCTAATTTTATTGTTTTGCAAGTCTCACATAAGTCACACTTAGATAACATAAATTGAAGTGATGGCATTAAAGTTTTTCAAACTTTAGTAAAAGTTGATTCAACTATGATATGTGTTTCATTTTTATACTCAGCTTTAAATGCTTGTACATAATTATGATACACTAAAGCATAACTATAACTTATTAAAAGAAATATAACAGACATGAAAATCTTATTAAAATGTCACCCAGGTGAAGGTATATCATGTACATTAGCATAATTTTTTAAAAATATATATATTTCATATGACATACTATACTTTATCTCAACATGATTCATATTTTTTGGAGTTTTGCCAATATTATCATGAATATGCTCCTCAAGACCATGTTCTTTTAGATGCTATATTATAGAATCTATATAATTATGACTAATTCCAACAAGTGCCTCATATGTAGTATGACAAATTAAAAGACTATTATTAAAATAATAATTAAAATATAAGAATTTTCTGTCAGTAGTAGTGACTTTATTTGTATTTTTATCTTGCTGAAAAGCTATAAGTTGTCTTTTAACTACTATATTATACATGTTTTTGTCTAAACTTTCAAACTCTATTTGACATGCAAGAAACCATTCATATCCAATTTTTTCAAAACAGTTAGATTTACATTTGCATTTTTCTTTTTTAAAAAATTCTTTTCTTTTAACTTCAAATCAGCATAAACTTTATCTTTAACTTCAACATAATTATTAGGATTATCTAAATATTCAAAGGTATTTAAGTATTCTTTATTAAAAGTATTAAAGCTTTTATCATTATCAAATTCTGATTTAATTTTATTATCCAATTTATCTTTTTTGAGTTCATTATCTGATATATTTTTTTCACTTTCTGAACTTGAATTTTCTTCAACAAAAAATGTATTATCTAGTTTTGCTAAAGCTGTTAAATAAGTATTGTTTGCACTATTATTATTAAAATAAATATCATGCTTCATACTATAAACTAGCACCATGAAGAAAATGTATGTTAAATTTTTTTTTTATTTTTTTTTATTTTTTTTATTTTTTTTTTATACTAAAGATGATACCAATACATAAATCAAATGTAAAATAATACATAAGTAAACCATGTAAGCATGTCTATATGCATATATTTTTAATTCAGGAATTTAGTATTCAAAAAAAACTTGACTAACAAGTTTTGATATCTGCAAAATTCAAAAAAAAGATGCACATCAATGTATATGAATAAAATTATAATTAACAGTATTGGTATATTTAAAGTATCTAATATATAATTAAATATAAAACATAAGTTAAAGCAGCAATAAATATAACTTTGCAAGTTATTGTTTTAGCTATAAAAACTAAATCTCTTATAGCTTGCAACTTTTGAAGCTAATAATTAAACTGATCATATTTTAATATTTTGTAAATTATTACTGTATTCCAATTTGAACTTATGTTGAGAATTTTTTTAAAAAATAAGAAGTATTAACTTTAATTATATTCCTGCTTTTCAATTGTCTATATTAGGTTTAACAAACTTGTGTATTTCACATGATTTGTGTAATAATTGCCAAATGTAACTGTAATGATCTATGTCCAAATTGGCAGCAAGAGTACTATATATATTTAATGTTTGTACTAATATTTTATAATTAGAATAACTTATTTTTTAAAAGGTTAAATTGTTTGATACATGATAGTGATAAAATCTCAAAATCTGATTGGTTGGCCCAGCTCCTCTTTTTGCTATAGGGGGTTCCATATATTATAAAATATTAATAATTATATATATCAGTATATATTGTGATATCAAATATCATAACCAATCATATAAAAAATACATGAAATGCAATATGTTACATTTGTAATTAGAAATGGTATTTTAGATTCAGAAGAGAAAATAAGAGAAGAAATTATATATCCTTAAAAATATTACATAGATTAGTATAAATAACATTTAGTAGCTTTAGGACACAAATTGCTAATTCTTTCCAATAATCATTTGTACCAAAATTCTGCTAAATAAAATTTAATTTTCTTTAACATTTTATAATTAAATATATCTTTTAAACTAAATAAATCTGTTCTTTATTCTATTTTACATATATATACAAAATTTTATATTGCTAGCTTAAATATTATATAAATTAAATAACTATTTGTTAAAACACTTTAAAATTACTTATACTCAAATTCAGCCTAGAAAACTTGTCTTGTACTCTAAGACAAAGTTGTCTAACTTATTTCTGGCTTTATTTTAATATAAGGTTTATTAAAAATAGCTAAAAATTAGTTATTTTACAAGAAAAAAACTCCAAATAGCTAATTTTCTTAAAATTTTCTAAAAATTTGTTTTTTTCTCTTTATTCTTTTCAAATCTGGACTTCAGACATGTTTTAAAATCCCATTTTCTAGTGGTTTACTTAACTAACTATCATTTTATAATTATTTCTCTTTTAGTCCTTAATTAATTAACACAAAAGCAAATAATTATAAATTTGCACTTATTCTAAAATTATACAATCTTGTATATACTTTATTCTATTTTTAGCAGGAGTTAGACAAGCCTTACATTGTACTACAAGCCACACTAGCCACTAGCCACCAGCCACAAAAAATAATACAAAGAGTATAATATTATAATATTATACAAACTAAAAATTACTTTTCTTTAAAGCTGTTATTATTCTCTTTAATATTATTATAATAACATCAAGTCAAAATGCCTAGCTTAGTTACTAATGAACCTGATTTTCATGATTTAGACTATTATTATAATAAATATTCTGATTGCTTTGGCATTGGTGACAAAGAAACTGATTTTCTTATTTTATACATCTTATCTAAAGATATTAATTCTACAAAATGTAAATTCAATAAGCAACAATATTACTTCAAAATGCAATTCTAACCTATATTTCTACTTGTCTCTGTAACAAATACTATACCAACTTTACCTTCAAACATTACAAAATTATACATACTACATCTTCTCATCAATCTTTTAACTTAAGTGCAATAGATATCTCTTCAACTACAGTGATTTTTAAAAATCACTTTAACAATATTGTTGATAAACTACTTAATTCACCTATTACTAAACAATAATAACAAAATCTTCTATCCACTTTCCAAATTTTACCATCCTCTTTTTATACAGACCCATTACCTGTGGCAATTGTTTCACACTCTCAACATTATCATATATACACTTTAGACAAAAAAAAAGATATCCTATATATTCTTATTCAAAAAACACATTATATACCAAACTACTCTATAGCTGTAATTTTTAAAGGCCTTTTATTTTACTAAAACTGTGTTCACAGCTCCAATATACTAAACTCAAACCTTTTCCTCAAACTCAAGAACTTACCAAAGAACAATATTCTATTTTTCATCTTTTCTACTTCTACAAACTTATCAAAGAAGAAAAAATCAATTTTCTTCAAAAACTTGCTCTTAAAAGAAAATAAAGAACCAAAACTCTAAATAAACAAAACAAAACTAACAACAAAAAAATACAACTAACCAACTCAGAGATACTTCTAATAACCTAGACTAGTTTTTTAACTACCTAATTACTAAAAATATAAAATAAAATATAAAACTTAATACATTACTTGCTCAACAACTTTTTAACTTCTCAAAATTCATCTTCACAAATTTACTTCTGGCTAACTAATTTTTTTTACTTCAAATAGTACTCAACTAATTACAAACCAAAAACTTTCTCAAAAACAAAGCTTTAATTATTTACTTAAAATAATGGCTACTAAAAAACCAGAATTTTTTATAGACTTTCTTTATCAATCTAACTTATCACTCTTGTCTCAACTCAATATTCCATAATATGCTTATACCTTAACACTTAAAAATCTATTTACTAAATTTACTAAACTTCTTTTTACTAAACTTAACTACTTACACATCTTTTATTTTTATTACTCATCTAATTTCTGATTATTGTAAAATAGCAATTAACTTTGCTTAATTATATTTATTTTTTCATAACAAATATCAAACAATTTATTATCAAAAATTCATTGAAAAACTAGAGCTCTGTTCTCCTAGATTATCAATAAAATACAATTTTGAATATGATGCTCCAAAACCCTTATTCAGTATCTACAACAACAATCATTTTACTATTACTGTTACTTTTAATATTCCCAAAACCAAATTTACTAACACCTTTCGAATTCCATTACTTAAGCCTTATACTTAAAACTTTAATACATAGTATGCAGACTTCTTTAAAGCTTACCAAAAATAATTCATTGAAATTAATGAAGATAAAGTTAAAAACTATATTAAATACCAAATTGCAACCACACTTGCTAAGAAATACAAAAAACTTCTACCTTTAGACTTTTAAATTACAGAACCTATCTCTCTTTAAAAGCATTCCTTTCTAACTATCAAAGCTGCATTCTTTCATGTTCATACATGTAAAAATTAAGATTGCAAGTTTTTACCCAATAACACAAAACATATTTTCAAAAAAATATCTACTTACTTCTTCAATAAGTCTTTTGAAACCTTTCCAACACTTCTAAAAGATAACTCAACTTTTTTTTTTTTTTGAGTATCCCTGTTGTCATTACAACTAAGGGCACAGATGGTGCTCTTTTATTAAAATATTATAAAAGACTTAGTTACTTTTTAAATATTTACATATTAGTTTAAAAGATTTAGATCTAGAACTAAAGAGGTTGTTTTTTAGAATTCATATTTTCTTTGAAATGCGATTTTTAATAAAAGAATTTAGAAAGTTAAGAGGTGTATCTGAGTTTCTCTATTTTACAGAGGTGTAGCAACACCATATTTCATAAATTGTATTAATATGTAACCAGGTTAAAGCTGCTAGAGCCTGAAGACAGGTATTGTCAAAGGCTTGAAAGATATCTTCAAGTGAGGATGGTATAGGTATTTTCTTGTTAATATTAAAAAAACTGTATACTTTCTTCCAAATAATTATACTACAAGGGCATTCTAAAGCAAAATGTTTTATAGTTTGTATTTCATCTGTGCACCACATACAGTTTTCTGTTTCTGATGATCCAATGTGTCTTAATCGATAACCAAGTGGGAGCACTTTGTGAAAAAGGTGCCAAAAAATATCCTTTTTCTTGTTACAAACAGACTTTAAGGAGAGCCAGATGGGCTGAGGCATTTGAGAAGGTGTTTATGATATAGCCAATAGAAAAAAAGATTCTTTTAAGAGTTTCAAAATTTTTTTAACTAAGAGTTCATCTTCTTTAATTTCTCTAATTCTAATTTTATTATTATTTCAAGGCCAGTTAGAAGTCTGTAAGACCTTGTCTTTAATTCTTGTTCAGGTCTTTAAGTAGGATTTCTATTCTGTAGGTCAGGCTTTTGTGCTTATATTGCCCAAATTCAGAGCTTGAATAGGAGAAAGATTTCTTCTATTATTAAGTATTGACTGTATTTTATTTCTTTCATATATTGCCCACATGGCATTGGATGTAAGAAGTCTCATCCAAACTGTTATTAAGTAGGCATCTAGCATGTCTTTAATAACTAGGGCTTGAAGACCTGTCAACTCTATCGATTGCTAAAAGATTAAGTATCTGGACAGTATTTGTGATATACCCTTGATTCAAAAAGTTATAGTTCTATTAATTTCTGCTACCTGCTTTCTGTTTGGAGAAAGCAGATATGCTGAATACCAGACTTTAGATAAGATAAGTGACTTTGCAATTAAAATTTTTTCATTAAAAAAGAGGTTTCTGTTTAGAAGCTTGTCTAGAAATTTTTTTAGCTTGTTAATAGTAGTAGGCCAGAGATCCCTTTTCAATTGTCTATTAGTGAGAATGTTATAGCCCAAAATGGTAATATTTTCTTGTTTTTCTAATTTGATAAATTGGTTTTTATTAGTAAGTTCTATTCATCTAGCTATGGTTGTAAGAGGAGCTAATTTGGTTTTAGTTCTGTTAATTTTTGCATTTAAAACTGCCTCGTA